ATTGGATACGATGCACTTTTTAGAATTTAATCGACAATTCTTAAGAATTTACATTTACATTTACATTTCTTCTCGATAAAAATACGACAGTGATGATTTGACATATGAAGTTATGTGAGCCTATCCTGTGGTAAGCGGCACAGTAGCTAACGCATCGAGCGAAAAATAGGTTAGATTACTGTGCACTGTAAATAAACGAAAGCAAAATTAAAATGAACAATCACTGTTTTGTGTTTTCATAATCTTAATCCTTTTTATCAATACAATTAACATTGTGATATCTTACTGAGAACGATTTATTTTACTGGATATTGATCTTTATTCGTTCAGTATTTCCTTAAGCTTGTTCCATAAGCTTTACAAAATTTCGCGAATTCCGTATCACAGGATTGAAAATAATTTTTGTGCTATTTTGAAAAAACATCCGTCCTTTACAAGTTCAATTTTAACAAATAAATAGTTAATTAAATTTACAGAAAAAATGTAATGTCTCATTCGATAAATATAAAGATAATTAACTAAAATAGAAAGAAAATAAACTAAAGGCACAGTAATTAGCTACGCCACGGTAACTAGATCCACTACCCCAACTACGAAAAATATCAAAAAGTCTGGATCATCGTTAGGTCGCGATCAACGTCGAATGTACGGAAGGTAATCCAGAACTAGGCGTCGTCCTCAAAGGTTCAAAGGTTAAAAAGTTAATAATCGTAGATGTAGCTGGAAGATTCAGCTTGAGACACGGAAGGACGATATCCGCAGCCGGCATCGATTAATCCGCATGTAGTTGATCGGGGTTCGAGTTTATCGAAAGATAAGTCGAGGCGATTAAAGAGGGCTCTTTCTCTCCCCCTCCAGCTTTATTTAACACACTGGATTTTTACAGCGAGCCGTGGTGACCGGTGGGTGGACTCTTTCTATCGAGCCAAGGATCACGTTTTAACGGACGACCGTAACGCTGGACAAGATAGCGAATTTAAAGGCGATATGCGAGCGGAGTACACGCGATCGTGCAATATGACACGGAACGCAATTGAACGCCGCTTAATTTCCCGGGGAGCACAATTACATGGTCGATCGGCTGTAATTTTTCGAAAATGTTTCTTTTCCGAGTAGCCGCTCCGTCCGCGCACGCATCCCTCGAAACAACGACGCGACGACGAATGCTTCGCCGCTGCATTATCGCACGATGCGTTCGACCCGGAGAAATAAAATGTTGTAATCTCGCACGGGCTGATAAGGATAAGCGCGGACTTAATAATCGTGACCTCTTCCACCCGGACGACTACGATCTATCGAGCTCGGTCTGTTTCGTTTCCTGGAAAAACTTCTGTCAGAGAAATTTCACAGTTGGGAATAACTGGATGTTGTGCCGATCTTTCTAGCAATTTCCAATTATCTAAAGCATTTTACAACGCCTAGAATATGAGAAAAAATGTTATTTGAAGGCTTATGGCAAAAACGAAATCAACATTAATTACGACGGAAACACATCTATTCTTTTGTTTCGAAAAATTGAACGTGTCACAAATGCGTGAAGATTTTTTGGACAGCACCAATGATGTTCACAAGTGGATTTATTGTGTTCATTGTTTAGGATATAAGATGTTTTGTAAAATTTGTTTGGTAGTTATTCATTTGTAATGAAATAAGTGTTATAGTGAGATGGTCTTGAACAACTTTGAAGTACCGTAACTCGTTGCCAATTATACTAACGTATATTTTGTCATAATGTATTAATACCTGCGAGAAGAAGATGCTAGCAATGGATGAAAGTGTTGTTGTTTGCATTCAGATGGAATGGTCTCTATTAATGAACAAATTTTTGTATCAATTCATCGTTATCTCAAACAGTCTAGCTGAAATAATAAGAAGAATTATATGCTTGGATATGTTGGAGAAATTACGCTACATTTTTCTGCACAAATAGAAAACAAGCATTTTCGATGCGTTAAATTGTGGAGAATTTCGCTTCAGTGTAGAGAAAATTTATGATTTATTTTAGTATTATACGGAATAGCGGGGAATTGATATTCTATATTATTTATTCTATATTAGGATTTCTACAATATTTCTATATTACCAGCTAATAAATAACCAGAATAATATTAGCTGCGAGATCGGCAATCTGTTTTTGCCATTTAGATTTAACAATATAATATTATATTTCTAATTCAAAACGTTATCATTAAATTCGTCATTTCTCTAGATAAAGGACAAACATAAATACGCAAATATCCGAATCAAATGTCTAATCTTACTACACGGAAAAATTTTATTCTAGCATCTAGCGTCAAAACTGAAACCAATGGCGAACTTTAGAATTTTTTAAATCTTGAAGAAATAGTGAAATCATGATGGTAGCGGTAAAACGGATGAAAATACAACGTGCAGGGTTAATAATAAAAGCGCAATCTTCTTTTGGAACATCTTTAATTGTATGTAATCTCATTGTAACGGCGAACATCGTACGCATCAATGTATCATTATTCTAAAGAATATCGAATTCGAGAGAAAAGTGAATATTTATATAGACTTTTATAGCTAAGTTTTTATTGTTCAAAAATTCGTCTAGCTCTACGCTTGTTATTTCAGACCACTAAGTTCTCATTTGTTATTAGAATGTTTCTTCGTTCCTCTTTGATTTCGACGAGATTTAGAATAGTTTACGCTCGGTAGTTGGGATCAATAGTCCTTGCCCTTCCGACCTAAGATCTTCTCACGCTGAGCCATTAGCTCCTCTGCCGTGATCTGGACTTGACATCTGTTCGCATACCTGTGACACTTTATGCCCGAACAGCAATTACTGTCGCTGACACACTAAAATGAAGAAATACATTCGCATTAGTATTTTTCAGGCTCGTTAAACGATACCGCACATTATTGTAATTGCGGGTTCCCCATGTTTTTTCTAACAGTTCTAGCCGCCGTCAACGCGAGCTAATCGCTTTGCGAGCACCTTTTAACACTTAGCACTCCGAACCATTCTGGACGTTGGCTACCAGCTACTCAGCGCCACTTTTCGGCAGAAACGGGCATTTACAGATCCTCGTATTATTTAGTATGGTTTTGGAACTAACTAACATATTATAATGATATTGGACTTATATGAATTTGGCTGAAGCCGAGAAATTTGCAAAAAAATCAATATTTTATTTTTTATAATTTTTGTTATTGTTTGTTTTATAATTATGTTTCGTTGTTGTAATCGCTATCTATGCGAACTCTTTCTCTCGTCGCCTTGTTGCTTGGACGCCTTGTCACTGTCACTGCTATCAAAACGATAGACTAACTGTAGAAGAAAACCTTCTACAGTTAGTCTTTCTAACATATCTGTCTAAACGTCTATCTGGAGCTCATC